TGGATGGATGCTTTAATCAAACAAAAGAAACAGACAAAAAGCCCTTTAAAGAGTTTATATTAAAGTCCTTTAAGAAGTCAGGTAATAAATACATATGCAAGTGTAATGTGTGGTGAATGCAATGAAGTTGAACATAATTCAGTGATAGAGTACTAGGTCTAGGTACAGTCAAGTATTGGTATATTCAAATAAGGCACTTTTTGAGGAAAAGGCTTTTAGGAGACTAAAGCAAAAATCATTCATAAAAGGTGGTAGAAATACTCCCATATGTTAATTTCTTTTGGCTGCTGTTACCAGGATAAACTTTTTTTTTTTTTTTGGTCTTTTTGAGACAGTCTTGTTATACAGTTCATGCTGGGCTTGAGCTCACTGTGTAGCTCAGGCTGGTCTTGAATTTGCAGTGATTCTCCTGCCTCAGCCTCCTGAGTGCTGAGATTATAGGCATGCGCCACCACACCAGGCTTACCAGTGCAAACGTCATTATTCACAGCAGTTGAAATTTATTCTGTCACAGTTCTGGGCTTCAGACACTCATTGTCAAAGTGTCATCAAGACTTGTTCCTTCTAAGTTATTGTTAGTTTATCAAACAAAATAGTTTCTGCTGTCATTGTTTGTCTGTTCATTTTTTATGCTTTGATTTTGTAACTCGAATAACTACTTCTAAGTTATCAACTAGTGATTTCTCACTCTTTTTTTTTGAAATTCTGTATTGTTTCTACCCTTTTTTCTGGTTTGCTTTTTTTCTCTAAAAAACAGGCTGTTTCCTTGTGGAGACTGGAATAGAGAATCTGGTCCATGCCTTTCTCGTAGATGCTGGTGGAAACCAGAAATTCTTGACATCCCTTGGTTTGTGGGTAAATCACTCCTGTCTTGCCTTCTATTTTCACAGTTTTTTTTCTATTCTGGGTGTCTTTAAGCCTTTTCTTCCTCTGTTTCTTTTTTTTAAATTTATTTAGAGAAAAATAAAACAGAATAGAAAATGGGCAGAAATATTGCACACTTTCAAAGAAAAGAAATAAACAGTAATAACTCACTAGTTGATGTATACATATTGTCCCCCGACAAATAATTGCTCAAGATATAAAAGTGGAACTTATAAATGGAAATTCAACCGGGGAGACTGCAAACCATTCTGCTCAACTGTCCTTCAAAAACTAAGTAATATGAGTATCAATCCTGTACACTTAGACATGTATACATTTATCCATATCTTCATTTATGTTGAGAGCTAAAAAAAAGTTATTAGATTAAAATCCTTCTGAACAAAGATTAATAATATTGCTGTATTTCACATCATAACACTCCGGAATCAGCACTGGGTACTGCAGTGCCCCTTTCTTTCCTTCAAAGTATTTGTTCATTTCGTCATATGTCATAAGATCAGTTCTCATAAACTATTTATAGGTTTTACACAAGCATGAGTCCTAACATGTATTTCTATCCTTTCTATATTAGAGGGAGAAACAGAATAAAGCAGGACAGAACTAAATATATTCCCATAGACACATACAACTAAAAAGACATAAAACTGCTGTATAAGGAGTTCTACCATGGTTACTATGCTGCTTCTTGTTATCATCAACCAAATTGGCTATATCATCAGATAAAGTATAATTGAACATAAAAGTACATAACAGAATTAACAGAAATACAACTTTGTAGATAGTGTAGAGCTACAAAAACAGGTAATCAAATCAGAATGGATACCGTGGTGAATCACTGTCATTTTCAGTATAGTTGTCTATACTCCTCAACTTGATACCAGCAACCTAACAGTTTTGATTAAAATCTGTCAATAATAAGCAGTATTCAAACCAGTCAGATTTAACTAAGATCAGTCATGATACAACAGTATAAGTCATACAGGGATCCTGATTGAGTTAATAGAAAACTAAAGATAACCACTGTGCTATGTCCTGATATCTTTGGGTTAGCTGTCTGTGTCCTCAGACCCAGTGCTCGTATGCAAACTAGGATGGAACAAGCTCCAACCAAGCAGAGTGGTGTGAGTAATAAGGGTTTTAATTCCTGATACACTATTAGCTATATCTTCTGCTTTTTTTTTTTTTTTGAAGACTATTCCTCCCCTTTACTCCCCCAGAATGACCTGTGTATTTTCGGGTCTCCCCATCACTCATGGTTTTATATGGGGGGTGGGACAACCTGCTATTTACCTAAGTGTTTTTGAACTTTCTCAATCCTAGACTGGATTTCTAGTTATATTTTTTCATTTATTAAAACCTGTCTGTTCCAATACTGGCCCAGTTACCCCTATTACTCTCTGGTTCCATATCACTTCAAGTTCCATTTTCTCATATTGATTTTGGTCTATATAACCTTCTTCAAGCTAATTATATTTCCTATAAAGAGTCTCTTGGTGGACCTTCCCTCTTGATCCACACTGCCTGTAATTCTCTCTTTTATTCCTTAAGTTAGTGTATTTAGGCCATCTATATTATAAATTATATTCAACCTTCTTTGCCTTGTTTCTGTTGTGCTCTTTTTCTGTCATTAGTTGTCTGTTTGTTTTTTTCATTTTGTTTTCTGCTCCATTCATTGAGGCCTCTCTGCCACTGTTTCTGGTATCCTGAGAGTTTTCTCTTTCTTTAGAATGTCCTGCAATATTTTCTGTAGAGTTGGGTTGGTGGTTGTGAATTCCCCCAGTTCCTCTTTATCTTGGAAGCACCTTGTTTCTCTATTAATTTCTAGGGACAATTGTGCAGGATGTATCAGTCTTGGCTAGATGTTATTGTCTTTCATTGGATTATTGGATTATTTTGTCTCACACTCTTCAGGATTTGATGGTTTGTGTCGAGAAGTCTGCTGTAATTCTGATGGGTGTTCCCTTGTAAGTGATGTCTCTGACAGCTTTTAATATGCTGTTCTTATATCAGATTTCTGGAATCTTGATTATTATATGCCTGGGTGTAGTTCTGTTTTGATTGTAGGTGGCTGGAGTTCTGTATGCCTCATACATCTGAGTATCTTACCCTTTTCCTATGTGTGGGAAGTTTTCCCTCATTATTTCTGTGAATAGCTTTTGCAGTTCCTTTGTTTGTACCCCTGCTTCTTCTCTCACATTCTTTATTCTTAACTTATAAATTCTTTTGTCATCTTCTAGCCTTTGTATTGTTACTGCTTGTTTCCTTGTTATTTTTAAGAAATTTTTCCTTTTATGCTCCCACATTACAAACTTGTCCTCTAGTTCAGATAATTTATCATTGGTTTCTTTCAAGCTGTTATGCCAGCTTTCAATAGAGGTTTTAGTATCCTGGTAACCTCTTTGAACCTGCTTCTCGTTCTCTATGTTTTCTCTATTTTCTCCATCAAACAATTCTCCTCTTTTTTTCTGTTCTTCCATTCCACCATCTGTTTTTGCTTGGGAGGTGCTTAGCATTTCTTTAGCTATTCTACTTATATCTTGCTTTACTTGGTTAAATACTTCACTTTTGAAATTTTCTGTGAGGTCCCAGAGATATCGCTTTATGTCTATTGGTGCCATGCTGATATCACATGTTTTCTGTCCTCATTCTCTTTTGCATTTACCTTTCCTGAATTAGTGTTCTCAGTATTGCAGACCAAGGAACCTTTCTTATTGCCTCCTCTTCTCATATTTTTTGTTCCTTCCATTCAGGCATATATAGGAGGCCCAGTCTCTTTCTTTGTCAGCTACAGCACCAGCTAGGTGTTCCCACCCACTGCATTGTACTAGGGAGACACTGACTGGGGCAGCCTATGCTGGGCCCACCCCTCCAGGTCAGTCAACCTGGTGAAGGCTTCACTGCATTAGGATGCACTGCCAGGCACAGGGACCTGGTTTGGTCTAGCCTATTGGGTCTTAGTCTGCGGCGTCACCCAGGTCAAGTGCTCCGCACCAATCCCGCATGAGAGGGGAATATGTGACTGAAGTCACTGCAGCACCCTGTTCTGTCCAGTCTGCTCAGTCCCAGAATATCCTTCATTGGAGCTCCTAATCTATGGAAGGGTCCTCTCACTCACCGCAGGTGGATGCAGGGCTCCCCGCCATCTCTGCTATCAATTCAGTTTGCCAATTCCTACTCTCAGAGTGTTCACATCTCTATCCTTGCTATGCTGACTCAGATGCAGCAGTGGCAGGGAACTCAAGCTGTGGGTTCCAGGGACGTGGGTTCCAGTAGTGGCACCGAGACTTTAGCTGTTCCATTTGTAGCATTGGGATTGCATTTCTGATCGTTTTCTTTCAGCTTAGTTCATTCTTGGGTCAGCAGGGTATATCTACCTCTGCTGAGGATCCCACACTGCACCATTCCTGGAATCTAAGCTGGCTATCTCAGAGAGCCTCTGTAGCTGCTGTTATCTATCAGCCATCTTCTCTGCTCTCCTCTACCTCTGTTTCTTATAAACAACCTGTAACTTAGGCCCGTGTTCAATGCTGTGTGAAACTCATTTGAGATCCTTTGTTATGTATGCAATCTCCTTTGTCAAAAAGAAAGCTACAACCAGGTGTGTCGGTCCCTGCCCATCATCCCAGTATTGGGAGGCAGAGGCAGGAGGATTGCTGTGAGTTCGAGGCTAGCCTTGGCTATAAAATGAGTTCAATGCCAGTCTATTTGGGCCCCTGGCCAAGAATCCCAATTACCTGTGTTAAGGATATGGTGAGGGGGTTAAAATAAGAAACAGAGATAAATTATTAACATGATGAGTGACTGAGAAGTCAAAGTCTTAGACGGGCCAAGAGAATGACACAGTGTTTTCAGTCATAGTTGGGGTTAGTGAAAGATTCAAAGTTGGCTGAAGACTTAGAGGTCTACAACTCAACAGACAAGTATAATCTTGGAGTAAACCAAGAGGGTGGAGATGATTTTATACTAAGAAAGATTTTGCCCTAGAGTGTTTTTTTAGACTTAGTGATTTTATTTTTACTCTCAGTGGTGGGGAGAGGATGACCCACTCCTAAAGTTAATGTGGGAATCTCAAATGGGTGGTACTAATAATCCCAACTTTCCATTTTATCCCTTAGAAAAGTGTACAAAATTAGTCATTGTGAATTTGTGGTCACCAGCACAGCCTGAACTGCATAGCAAAATCCTTTATCAAAAGAAAATGAGAAGAGAAGAGAAGAGAAGAGAAGAGAAGAGAAGAGAAGAGAAGAGAAGAGAAGGCTACACTTATAAGTCCCACAGGTCAGGGAGTGGATGTATTTATATAGGTAAGGGAGTGTGCAATTCAATCCATCACACCAGGGAGAAGGACTTGTATATTTAAAAGCAAATATGTAGTTAAAAGAATGCGTATATCAACAGAATGAAAGAACATTTTGTTGAAAAACAGGTAATAATTCAGTTGATCTGGTAGGTAATGTTGTCACACTGCCAGCTATGTTAACAAATAAAATTATGGGATAAGCCTCATATGACTTTTCAAAAATATAGGGCCTGTAAAGAAAGTTGAAGTTCTGGAATCCATTTGATACTTGGATGATCAGTTAAGAGTAATCCCAATTACCTTATAATTCAGATATTTCACTCTTTATGAAAGTGCAGTAAACATATAGGTAAATTTTAATCCAACTTCATTTTTTATATTTTACTTATTAATCCTAAAAGAGTTATTTTTCAATGTCCTTGAATCTTTTGTGGTGGAATTGTACCGTATTTCTAAAGCTGATGCTTAAAATTTTCCATGACACCTCTGTGAGAAAGAAAAACCATAAGTCATAGTGCAACAGTGTCTCTGGGTGTGTAGACCAATCAAACCTGGTATAGTTAATGTGCTTTATAGTCTATTTTGATTCAGAAAAAAATCCTGTCGAAGTAAACCAAACTCTTAGCATACATTTTATTTAGCATTAATATAGAATACTTTCCTCCATCAGAACGATACCACTGAGTTATAGCTAACAGCATCGTTAAGCACAAATAATGAGGAGATCTGTATTAATCTCTGAAATGTGACTTTTCTATTTGCTTACCTGATAAGACAATACTGAGATTACAGTTTATTCCAGTAACAAGTCTGCCTTCAGGTAGGTTTATAATCATTGCCAAGCATTACCAAGAACTTCATTCAAAAGTTCTCAGTGCTGAAATATTGGCGATGTTAATAAACATACTTTAGGAACTTTTCTGATCAATTGTCTTGTTTTGTGCTTTTTATTAGTTTCTATCATTTTCACTGTTCTTTATTACCTTGGAAGATAATTTTTTGAATAATGGCATCCCTATGAAGAAAATAGGTTAGTTACCCAAATCCTGAAAATTTGATGCTGATAAAATAATTGTAGAGTCAGAACAAAGTTAACTTAAACATAGACTGAGCACCTTTCTTCTTCAAAACAAAATGGAAATAAAATATTGAAACATAAAACTGACCTTTATAGAAAGTAAGTCTTAATTTCTAGAAAGATAATTCATCAGAAACAGAAATCCATAATTTTATAAGAATTGCTTTTAAATGTGCATTTGTCCAACTGTGAAACACACACATTGACGAACTGATGAGACACATAATAAGTTTTAATAATTTAATTAGGAAACTATGCCAAATAACAATTTAAAAATTAGAAGCAGAGTCAATAAATTAACTCATTTGTTCATCTACAAAGGCTTATAGATAAAAGAGCTAAAATACAGCTTACTGTAAAGAAGCAAATGAGATATATCTTACTGCTAAAATGAAACCTGACAAAAAAGGCTTTTTGGATAATAGGATTGTTTCTTGAAGTGGTATTTGAATATGCTTAAGCAAATCGCCATGCCTTGTGATGAATGTGAGGTTGGATGGAATAATTTACTGAATAGCGTGTTGCAAAAACAATTTGTAAATCATGTTCATGTTAGATTTATTTTTTCCATTAAAATATAAAATGCTTCTCAGCAATTTTTATTCTTCATGAGAATTATAATGTATTGTGCTTTGTTGCATTTTTTATATTTAACTTGAATCTTATTTGCCTGTTGTATTTGACCTTGAAAGATGGAAAATAAACTTAAAGTCATAAAATATTAGTTTAATCTTATCTATGTTTTATTACTTTCATTTTTCCCTTGTTAGATAAATATATGTATGTTTCTGGCGTGGAGACAAAATATAGAGCAGAAAAAAATAAATCGAGAAGCAAAAGCATTTACCCATTTGTATCATAAATCCCTTTTAAAACATATAATATTACAGTAATAAGAAAGTCTAATTACTTTTTGACAGGAGGATCAGAAAGTAAATTCCTGAAGTCTTCATTTTGTGAATATCTTTCATGAAAAAGTTCAGAACATTTCTTTTTATAAGTAATTTCATTTAAACTCACTTAGTGTTAAAGATAGCACTCTTTGTTACAGTTAATAGATCATATAAAGAACTATGTCCTAGAAAACAGTTCTTTTCTGGTATAATTAATTAATTCAGCATGCTCCTGAAAGTGAAGGGTAAAAGTTCAATTCAATGGCATCTTGCCTGTCATGTGTCCCATTTCTGTCCTTTAGCCTGACTTTCCTCTTCATGTTTTAAAATAAGTTAACATTTTTGTGTTTCTGAGAGTTTTAAATTGTTCTGTTCAACAATATAAGTGAGTATAGTTATCTGATCTCTTCTGGTCCAAGATGACTTTTCTTACAGTAGGATTGATCTGGATTCTGTTTCTGGCTTGTATGTAGTAGATAGTACACATTTTTTTTTATATCACCTCATGCCAGGGGATGCATTAAGAGTAACAATAAAAGCAGCTAACAGCCTTCGATCTATCACTGGCATCATTAGAAATCCATTTTTCCTTCTCCAGTCCCTTCTGATTGTGTATGGGATATGTCATAGCTGCTTCTGAATTCCTCTATCTTGATCATCGTGCAACATATCTTCTCCCTCCTCCTATCCCACTCTTTCTTAAGTTTCCCATAAACGTATGCCACATGTTGTAGGATCATTTCATCAGCATGTACAAGCAAAAAGCCAAAAGTATTCTCTGAGCTTTTTCTGCTAGCCATGATTAAGTGCTTGGTGGGGAAATGAGACTACTTCTCATGTATGTAGTTTTTTCTAGGAATAGATCATTTTTCATTACATTGTAATCCCACTGAATGACCTTGCTTTTCTTATTCATTCTAAATACATAATATAAAAAACATTTACTGAGGCATAATAAGCATGCCATTGGAAATTCCTTAATGAGGTAGCAATAATGAATAGAGGAAGTGCAGACGGGAAACACAGATGAAGGACATTTTATGTATGTAGTTTTTAGAATCATTAAAGCAGATAAGGTATTCCCTATAGGTAGTAGAATTATGTTTCTCAGGTTAAATATGATAAGGAATTTCCAGATTAAGCATAAATTTTGAGACATTATTTTGTTGTAAAGTAAGCATATTTTTTCAAACAGTTACACATTTTTATAGATGCTATAAGATTTAATTAATAAAAATCATTACTGTAAGTTCATCTTAATTTGAAATCATTTAAACCAATAGTGTATTTTTAAGGCTGGCATTATTAACAAAGCTGTAGTTTACTTTATACAGAAGTAACAAAACAATAAGGCAAAAAAGGACAAAAATTGAATTAAAAAGATACAAAAATTCTATATAACATAATATCAATCAAGTAATTTGAAAATATATTTAAAAACTTACAAACAAAGAAAAGCCCACGTCCTAATGGATTCACTGTTAAATTCTACAAGACATTTAGAGAATATCTAATGACACTAATGATGAAACTGTTTAATGAAATCAAAAGGGAAGCAATCAAAGTCATTCCTAGAAGCAAGTATTACCAAAATCAGAGAAGGATCCCAAAAAAGAAAACTGCAGGCCAGTGTCCCTAATGAATATATATGCAAAAGTCATCAGTAAGATGCTGGCAAGTAGAAAGCAGAAAATCTTAAAAGAAAACTAGACACCATGACCAGGTAGGATTCAACCAGGGAATACAGGGATGGTTTCACATATGGAAATCAATAAATATAGTATACCATATTAACAGAGTCAAAGACAAAAGTCACATGACAATCTCAAAAGATGCAAAAAAAAGCATTTGACAAAGTTCATTCAGTACCCATTCATAATAAATGGGAAAATTGGAATAGCTGGTCTTTATCTCAAACCAATATAACCTATCTATGATAAACGAATAGTCAACATCATACTAAATTGTCAAAAACTGAAAACTTCAACTATAAAATCAGGAACAGGGCAACAATATCCACTGTCACTACTCCTATTCAATATATTTCTGGAATCACTGGACAGAGAAATTAGACTAGATAAAGAAATAAAAGGGAAAAAGGATAGAAAAAGATGCAATTAAATTGTCATTATTTGCAAATGACACAGTACTGTACATGGAAGACCCCCAAAGCTCCACCAAAAGATTTACACATTCAATGACCAAATTCATTAGGGTAGCTGGATACAAATAAACACTCAAAAATCAATAGCATTCCTGGACACAAACAACAAACTCACTGAGAGAGAAGTTATGTAATCTATGCCATTCATAATAGCATCTTCCAGAAATGAAAAATGGCCATACCCCAAAAATCATTATACAAATTTAACGCAATACCAATCAAGATAGTGTTAACACACCCAACAGAACAAGAGAAAATAATTTTAAAATTCATTTGGAACCAGAGGAGATCTATAAAAGCAGAATTCTCAGAAACAAAGGCAAGGCATCACAATCCCTTCCTTAAAATTATACCACAAGGGTACTATGATAAAAAAATAGTATAGTACTGGCAATAAAACAGACCTAAGGATCAGTGGAACAAAATGAAAGATGTAGAAACTACTTCAAACACATTCAGCCACCTTATCTTTAAACATGAGCCAAATATATTCACTGGAAGAAAGATAGCCTCTTTAAAAAATGGTGCTGAAAAAACTGGCTTTCCACATACTAAAGACTAAAACTATACCCATGTCCATCATCATGCACTAAATTAAAATTGATACTGATCAAAGTTATAAATATTAAAACAAACACTAACTCTGTGGAAGAGAATAGGCAGAACTCTTGAAGACATAGGTGTAGGCAAAAATTTTATGAATAAAAGCCTGATCACGCAGGAAATAATATAAAGAATAAATAACTGGAATCTTATCATATTTTAAAAAACTTGCACATCAAAAGAAATCACCAATGGAGTGAAAACTTTTTAGCTAGTTGTCCTTCAGGCAAGGGAGCTATATCTAAAACGTACAAAGAATTCAAAAAATATCAGACCCACTCAATTTAAATACCAAATCCAAAAATGGACATCTAAGATGAATACGCACTTCTGAGATGAGGAAGTATAAATGGCAAATAAATATATGAAAAGATGTTCATCATCACTGGTTATTAGAGAGATGCAGATTAGAATAATTGAGAAACTATTAATTATTAAGAAATAAACTAATAACAGATGTCAGTGGGGCTGTGTGGAAAAAGTCTCACTTCCCCACTGTTGATGGGAGTGTAGAGTGGTGCCACCACTGTGGAAATCTGTATGGAGAGTACTCAAGAAACTAGGATTAGAGGGTCCTTTTTACCCAGCAGTTCCTCTTCTGGGTACCTTACCAGAAGAATTAAAAATATCATATCACAGCAATATATGTGCACCCATGTTTATAGAAGCACAGTTTTAATAACTAATTCTTGCAAACAATCCAAATGCTCATCAACCAAGGAATGGATAAAGAAGATGTGTTTTTTTTTTTTTTTTTTGCACGATGGAGTACTATTCTGCGATAATGAAAGATAAACTTTAGACATTTCAAGGTAAATGGATGCAATTTGAAGCCATCCTTTTTAAGTGAAATAAATCACACACATGCTATCAGTTAGATGATTGTCATATAGTTCTATACCATAATCAGTTAGATGATTTTATCCCATTTGACAGTTTATCATCCTGCCTTCACCACATGGTTCTAATTATTAGAGTTTTTGATGAGTCTTGCTGTTTGGTCATGGTAATACAAGACATTTTTTTCCATGATTTTCATGGTCCTTTGCATTTCTGTATTAACACTGAAATCCAATTTTGTTTCCAAAGTTGATATTTTGATTGGAATTATAGTGTTATGGCATGACAAATCATCCAAAACTAGCAGCTTAAAACAACGAACTATTTCAAACACTGAAGCATTTAGTTGTTCTAGGACAGAAGCTTTCACGAAGTCATAGTCAAGTTCTACGGAGCATTTGTGTTGAAGCTTGACTGAGTGTAGTCTGCTCAGTTCAGTGAGGCTTGCTGACGACTCCGTTCTTCACCGACCAAGCAGTACCCTCTGGAGAGTTGCCAGGGTGCACTCAGATCTGAAGCTTGCTTCTGTCAGAGTGAGTGACCCAAGGTAAAGTGACAAAGATTGAAGTTCCAGAGTCTTTGTACTCTAATCCCTGATATACAATCACTGCTCTTTTATTCTCTTGCTCACCTAAATCATATCTAGTGTACTGTGATAGGTGGTAATCAAAAAGTGTGAATGCCAGGAGGGTGAGAGTCATCAGAAAGCATTTTAAAGACAGGCTGGCAAACAGCTTAAGTCTAAGACAAATTTTTACAGAAATGATGTTCAAATAGTGTTACAACGGGAAACCCAAATAGCATAGTTTATAGATATGCTCATTTAGTTCTTCTTTGATATTTCTCAATAATATCATTTAGTTTTTAAAATTTTCACATAGCTTCTGTTAGATTTATTCTTAAATAATTTCATATACTGGAAATTATTTTATCTTAATTTTCTATTATTGCTGCAATAAAAAAAATCACTGTTTTATTACCGGTTTCCATTTAAATTTGCTTATTTGTTCTAAGTTTTTATGAACATTGTTTAGGTATTGCACAATTGTGTGTTGACAAAATAGTTTATTTATCTCTCCTGATCATTAACATTTATTTTGACTAGATTCTATGGATGGAAATTTCCAAAAGAAATTGAATAGAAGTCATGGTAAAGGTGTCATCGTCCCATTTCTGTCTCCTGATTATTG